TCTAAGAGATGATACCACTCTAAAATATAAGTAATAGTGGATAATCAAGTTTAACAAGATTTGTTTATATACATTGTTGATACAAAACCAAAGCATATTGGGGTAAAGAACGTACATAACCACCATATATATTCTAGAGAGTGTCTCAATATGTGAAGAGATAAATCCCCTGCAAGAGTAAAGTAGTCATTCTGATATGCAGGCACCACAAGTGTCACATCACATCACTGCCATGACAGAAAGTATATATATATATATATATATATATATATATATATAAAATAATAATGAGCAATAGGGGACTAGGAACAAAAACTACAAAGAGGCCAAAAGGAAGCAGTAGTACCATCAACTGGTCATATACTGTACATAGACCAATAATGGTCAATATTAATATATTATATGAACCCCATGTATGTGTATATATATATATATATATATATATATACATACATATACACACATATATATATATATATGTAAAATAAAAAAAATTTTGAACAGAATATAACCCTTTAAGAGGGGCGGTCATAATACAGCCAAGAAAGCTAGGTCTACCGTTTACTTGTTAAGATATATTAACGTGTAAATTCCAATTAATTTTATCCTTTTGTACTTCCCATTAACTGGTACTATATAAGGAAAAATCGGGGCTAAATCTAGATTTTGAGAATATTTTACAATATGCCAAATAGTAAAACATACAGGCTTAAATTCTCTATTATTATAGTGATATGTTATACAAATATATATACACATACAATGATATTTCCTATATGTCCATACTTTATGGACACCATGTATAAGTGGGGTAATTCCTCCCAATGACCATAAATGTAGAGAGCATTCTTCCCACTGATCATCAGTCTAGGTTCACACATGTCCACATTTGATCAGTTTTGGTGCGAGTGTGATCCTGGTTCCAATATATCTACATAATCATCTGGTTTTTATTTGTTTACTAGCACTGTTATTTTGTTTTTATGGTTCCAATATATACCTTTTTAGCTGGGGTTTGCACTGTCCGAATGTGGATGACAGTGTATTGAACAGCAAAATCGCCCTTTTTGGAAAACACAGTGCGGCTCAACAACATATATCTGACTGCCCCCATAGGAACACATTTCAATACACTGTCATCAGAATTCAAACAGTACAAACGCATATATGTGAACCAGCGCTCACACTAGTGTATCATGAGTTGTAGATATAGTAACTTTTAACGGGATTCCCTGAGACCGGAAAGTTATTTCAAGGGTTCCTTTGTGTTGAAAAGGTTGAGAAAGGTTGCCTTAGACTCACAACTTGGTGGACTACCCTCCAAGCTTGTGCATGTGGGAAACCTCTGAGTTAATCCGAAGTCTGAACAAGGGATACCCTGTAAAATAACACAGGTATACCTAAAGGCACATGGTACTAAAGGAGAGATTATCCACTTATATGTCTGTTTTCATTTGCAGCAGTGTGCATTGTTCATCACTGATCTGTGACTGTCTGTCTGTCAGGTTTATTCCATAGAGTCTGTCATTTAATTACAGGACTACCTTCCTAAAATAGAAAATATGACAAAATATGAAAGCAAGTCATGGTGAGTCCCAATGAATACTAATAGCACAAAGTCGCCACCTACTGGTCATGCTGGGAACTGCAGCAATACTAGTCCTTGGAATTGGAATGTGATGTCTTATAAGAGGTCCTCTACTCTTCATATGTGATCCATATGAAGGGACCCTTAAAAGACAAACAGATTCTCTCTCCTTCCTCAAAATGGCACTTTTGGGTCAGGCTGTTGGCTGCTTAGGTTCCCCATACACTTACAATCTCTGTACAATCAGTCTTAGATCTATGTAGACTATGAAATATTATACTGGGGCAGCACAGTGGCTAAATGGTTAGCATTTCCACCTGGCAGTACTTGGTCTTTGGTTCAAATCCTATGCCTGGAGTTTGCATGTTCTCCCTGTGCCTGCATGGGTTTCCTCCAGGTACTCCAGTTTCCTCCCACACTCCAAAGACATGCTGGTAGGTTAATTGGATCCTGTCTAAATTGTCCCTAGTATGTGTATGTATGAATGTGAGTTAGGGACCTTAGATTGTACACCCCTTGAGGGTTAGGGACTGATGTGAATGTACAATATATATGTGTAAAGCACTGCATAAATTGACGGTGCTATATAAGTACCTGAAATAAATAAATACCTAATCTATCCAAAAAATCTGTATCCAATCAGGTCCTTGTACTACATAGTTTTTGGTAGATTAAAGGAGATTGTACAATCAGATTGTACTATGTTTGGTGAGCTTTAGGCACCAAGTACTTCATTGTACAGGTTGACAAAGTACAGGTTCACTTTAATATTTGAAACTTAACCACTTCAAGTCCAGACAATTTCACCCCCTTCCTGCCCAGCTGCCCTTTCAGCTTTCAAGTGCTGTCACACTTTGAATGACAATTGCGCGGTCATGCAACACTGTACCAAATGAAATGTTTAGCATTTTTTTTTAGACAGATACAATTTGCTTTTGGTGGTATTTATTCACCACTGGGATTTTTTTTTTTTTTGCTATATATATGGAAACAAAAATGTTGAAAAAAAAAAAAAACCCAAATTATAATTTTTCTGTTTCAATATTTTTATTAAGAAAGTTTTGTTTTAAGAATACAACAAGCTCAAGATACGCCCACGCAGGGGAAAATTATAATTTTTCAAAATATTTTATACATTTAAAAAAAAAAATGTATATTATTATACAAGATTTATATAGATGAACAAACGAAACCAGCGCTCAAATCTTCATGTAGACTAAGATAACTGAAACTGTCATTCGTAGAGGTGTAGCCCTTAACGATCGGGAAATCTTGATACTGGTGAACAAAAGCAAAACAGGGCGCACTCTCTTCGTGCATTAACGTAGTATACCAAAAATGTATTATAAAGCATAAAATGCATACTCACAAACTGAGGGGGGATAAAAACAGACAAGAAGGGGTTTATTTACTAAAGCTGGAGAGTCCAAAATCAGACTCCCTTCTGCATAGAAACCAATCAGCTTCTAACCTCAGCTTGTTCAATGAAGCTTTGGCAATGAAACCTGGAAGCTGATTGGTTTCTATGCAGAAGGGATTCTGATTTTGGACTCTCCAGCTTTAGTAAATAAACCCCGAAGAGTCCATAATAACAGTCCTAAGGGTCTCTTTGGACTGTTATTATGGACTCTTCTTGTCTGTTTTTATCCCCCTTTGGTTTGTTAGTATGCATTTTATGCTTTATAATACATTCTTGGTATACTACGTTAATGCACGAAGAGAGTGCGCCCTGTTTTGCTTTTGTTCACCAGGATTTATATAGAGCCAACAGTTTGCTCAGTGCTTTACAATATAATGGGAGACGATACAGCAAGGATAGAGTTCAATACAAGAGTGCTAGGAGGGCCCTGCTCCTTGGAACTTACAATCTAATACATTATTACGGACGGGAAGAGGTTAAAGTATAACTATTGGCAAAACTTTTTTTTAACTTTTTAAAATTGATTGATTTCCTCTCACTTCCTGTTTGTCTATGGGACAGGAAGTGTGAAGGGAAATCTTCCCAAAGGGACACAGCAAAAAAAAAAAATAAAAACCTGACAGGGTTCGTAACCCTCACTTACATGAAAATAAAAAGTTTTATCTTTAGTTCTACTTTAAATGTTACTCATTTCCTAGATTGTAAGCTCGAAAGAGCAGGGCCCTCGATCCCCTCATGTTTTGCATTGTATTGGTATTGTTCTGTCACATGTTCTATCCCCCTTTGTAATGTACAGCGCTGAGTGAACTATCGGCGCTTTATAAATACTGTATAATAATATAATAATAATAATAATTTGACAATTTGACAATAATTTGATAATTTGACAGGATATAAGTTTGATGTTTCATACATCCTTATAGAGTATAATGCCAACCCTGGCAAACGCTGCTCCTTTGCTGGTAGCCTGGGGACACAGTAGGCTGAATGTACAGGATCAGCAATGTCCGGGGCCTGTCATCAGCATGCAGGCTGTGCATTTCAAGTATATAATTGCAGGGTATACAGCCATGGATTTTATATCCTAAAGGCAGCTCACGACTGCACAATCCTGCAATTATATACATTCAAAGGAATGTATAGTTTTTTTTGTGCAAAATTTCTTTACTTTGGTCAAAACTTAAATAGGATGTTTTAAAACTATATTTCTTTTTGTACAGGAAATATAAAACATTGCATGTTATCATGCAGTCAAACAGACAAAGAAAGCCCAATTTTAGTGATGCCTAGGGCAGCACATGAACTAAATACACCACTGTTTGAAACCAATGAAGACTGCGACAAAAAGACTGTATTAATAGGGGCTATTTCATTAAAAAATAAACCGAAGTTGCACAAAATGTAAATTAATCAAATCTATGAAGGAGATGCTATAAACTTGTTGAAAAAAATTGCCTTGTGACCAGGGGCAGACTGACAACTCATTGGGCCCCCGGGCAAAAGGGGATCATGGGGCCCCTGTGTCCTTGCCCAAGCTCAAAAAAGCCTATGAAAAAGGTACCAGGGGCATCTCATGGGGCCCCCTACTGACCCCGGACCTCGGTCAGTGCCCAAGTTTCCAAATGGTCAGTCTGCCCCTGCTTGTGACGAAACTGAGAGGCTCGGTTCACATTGCTGCAACGTAACTTGCTTGCGACTTCCTTACGATTTCCTTTGACTTAACATTGCAGTCGATGACACTCAACTTGCTCCAGAATTGCAGAAAAGTAGAGCAGGAACGCTTTTTTTTTGTCTTTGCAACTTACGTCAAAGGCCGGCCATACATGGGTCAAAATTTGACCAATTTTTTGTCCGAAAATAGGACCTAAGAATAATCGGATGATTTTCACTCTGTTAGTGGGTCAATGGCACTGGCTGATTTTCGTGGTTCCTCTCCTTTTCGATGATCGGGCATGTTGGAAAATTCATGAAAAACTACTGATTTTCAACTCAATGATGGTCAAATCGTACGATCATTTTTCCAAAAAGAATATGCGCATGAGCCGTGACCTGGAAGGAACAGAATTTTCACCTGTTATATGGGGTGAACTTTATGGCTTGGTCGGCCGATTTTCGAAATCATTGATGGCACCATCGGATTACTGAGCGAACGATGTTTTCGATTTTCGGATGAAAAATCGTTCGGAATTCGACCCATGCATGGCCTGCAAAATTGATTAAGACGACACCCATGGAAATGAATGTGTTTTGACTTGTCATGCAACTTTGTGTTGCAAGTTGCATGATAAGTCGCAGCAGTGTGAACCGCGGATTAAAGCTCTACAGCAAGCAAACAGCTAAATACACAAATAAAGCCCAAAAGTGGGAAATCTCTTACTGCTAAAGGAGTTCTTATTCCTTCCTTTCACTCTTGGGAGTAACATTGGTGACCTGGCGTTTCCCTGTTGCATTTAAAGCGGAGTTTCAGTCTCTGGTAAAAACTGTAGCTGCTGACTTTTAAAAAAACAGCCACTCACCTGTCCTAGGATCCAGCGGTGTCCTCACTGGCCGCCCTGTGTCCCCAGTGCCAGCATCTTTTAGGACACATGACAGGCCCCAGAGGACTGCAGGACCATTCACAATGTGCAGTGGGCACCCAGCTGTGACAACTTACAGCTGGGTGCCCACTGCGCACGTGCGAACAGCACTGCACATTGTGAATAGTCCTGCAGTCCTCTGGGGCCTGTCATGTGTCCCAAAAGACTGCGGAGGAGGGAGAAGGGCTTCCACTTCCAATCGCCTAGATGATCGCAGCGGAAGTGGGAGCTGCTACCTGTCAAAATCAGGTACCTGCTCCTCCACCCCCATCCCCACTCCCTAAAGGTGCCAATCCTTAACAGTGAGCAGGGGGCAAGGCCTTAAAGCAGAACTTCCCCTTTTGGGTGGAGCTCTGCTTTAAGCAATACATCTTGGTCTCCTCCATATCCTCATCCTTTGATTGGCCATTCGCAGCCTCGGCTGTCAATCACTGGGTCCTGGCCGTTGATTTCCCGCTGGCATCCAGTGATCGCTGAGTATCTTAAAGCAGAATTTCCCCTTTTGGGTGGAGCTCCGCTTTAAACAATACAGCTTGGTCTCCTCCATACCCTCATCCTTTGATTGGTCAGTGAAAGAGCAGCAGGCTGAGGATCTCATATACAAAAAATGGCCGCTGCCCCAGTCTATAACTGGCATTCACAGATGGAAGCACATGGAAGCATGTCAAACAATAAAAAAGAAAAATTCCCAGCTTAGCTTGTCAGCCAGCCTGCAAACAAACCAAATTAACCTGTCTAACATTATGCTTTAAAAATGGGGGTTTAATTAGCACACATTTGCAAATACATGCGTAAGCTACAGAGTCTCTTCATGGCACCCCGATATTCTATAGTTCCTGACTTGAGAGCCCCCATAGTAGAGGCACATGTATTTATTTAATGGATAGACGAAGGGCAGGTAAACCTAAGGGAGCCCACCCCTCCTTAAAGGTACAGGAGCGCGTTGGACATCCAGGATCTCATATCTCTGCTTACTCTGCCCTCTCCTCCTCTCAGCATGTCCTTTGGCCACATATGAGCTCTTCAGTGTGCTGGATTAATCCCTAGTGCCGCCCTTCCCTCTCCCAGTCTGAGTGTTGCTATACAGGGGATGTCTGCGTTTAAAAATTGTTTCAACTGCTTCCGCGCCGCCTATAGCAGAAATACTGCTACAGGGTGACACGGGTGCGCAAAATCACGTATATATACATGATTTTGTAGTTCCGGGTAGGGGGCGCGTGTGCCCTACCCGTGCCGCCATTCGCGGCCTCGGCTGTCAATCACTGGGTCCTGGCCGGTGATTCCACACTGGCACCCGGTGATTGCTGAGTATCAACAACGGGAGAGAGACCTGCGTAAAAACAGCACAGATCTCTCCCCTGTCAGCTCCTGCACACTGCTTTGTATGGCTGTGCATAGCAGAGCCATACAAAGCAGTGTGCTTAGAGTGTACAGCACACAGTTAACCTTTTGATCGTCCTACATGTTAACACATTCCTACCCAGTGCCATTAGTACAATGTCAATGCTTTTTATTAGCACTGATCACTGTATTGGCGTCACTGGGGATGTCAGTGACACCAAGTCAGTTCCCCCCAGTGTCAGAATGCCCGCCACAGTCCCGCAATAAGTTGCTGATCGTCGCCATTACTAGTAAAAAAAAACCAATTCCAAACAAAATTCCAGTATATATATCCCCATTAGAAATGCTATCACTTTTACGTAAACCAATTAATTTATACATATTGTTTTTTTTTTTTAGCAAAGACATGTAGCAGAATACATTTTGGCCTAAATTTATGATGAAATTTGATTTCAGTCTTTTTTATTAACCTCTTGCCGTCCGCCTGCAAATTATAAACGGCAGGGCGGTGGGGAGTCCAAGGTCGACGTAAATTTCCTAAACGGGTTGCCTTTTCTAGCAATTGTGCGCGCTCCCTAGGAGCGCGCAATACCGCGATCCGGTGTCCGCTGGTGTCCTCCGGACACAGTTAAATCCACCGATCGTTGGACGGGACCTCTGTAACTGCGATTGGTCCCGGGTCATGTGATCACTGATTGGCGAATCAGTGATCACATGCAAAGTAGTAAGCAAGATGTCACTTGTGACATCATTGCTTACTACGTGTGAAATCTGTGAATGATCACAGAGTCACATTTCTACAAGGCTATTCACAACAGCCTTGTACCATTGTGACAAGCTGTGACCAATCACAGCTCACTCAGAATTTCTCAATGACTGCAAGAATGCAGACAGAGAGAAAGAGAAACTGATTGCCCATTTACATCCCCTATATGGGTGTAAAAGCAATCAGTGTAAAAAAAAAAAAAAAAAAAATCTTCATCACCCCCCACAAGTAGTACAATGTCACCATGGTGACACTGTTTGCTAGGGTGACAGTATGTAAAAATAAAAAATAAAAATAAAAAATAATATAAAAAAAAATAAAATAAAAATGTAAAAAAAAAATGTTTAAAAATTATAATGTTTGGTTATAAACTAATTTGGATTTTTTTTTTTTTTACTAAAAAAATAACGGAATAAATTTTGGTCAAGATTTAGGATGAAAATACGTATTTATTTGCAAAATGCTTATTGGGAAAAAACACTTTTTTTTTCAAAATTTTTGGCACTTTTTCATTTACATTTACATAGTAAAAAAAAATAAAAATCCCAGCGGTGAATAAATACCACCAAAATAAAGCTTTATCTGTCTCAAAAAAATGGTTTAAAAAATTCATATGGGTACAGTATTGCATGACCGCGCAATTGTCATTCAAAGTGTGATAGCGCTGAAAGCTGAAAATTGCCCTGGACAGGAAGGGGGTAAAAGTGTCACAGGAAGTGGTTTTTTTTCTCAAAAAAAAAAGCGCACAGGCAATCAAATACCATAGAAAGAAAGCTCTATTTGTGGGGGAAAAAAGGACGTAAATTTAATTTGGTTGCATGACCACGCAATTGTCAGTTAAAATAACGCAGTGCAATATCGCAAAAAAAAGGCCTGGTCGGGAAGCGGGGTTAAATCCTCTGGGGGGTGAGTTTAAAGACTATATAACTGCATTGGTTGGTGTAGTTTACATCTGCCCAGAGTTTAGCTTTAAATTCAAGTAAAGTGCAGTAAACAGAGTGCAGTAATCAGGTATTGCCACATTCAGCAGATTATTATATAGTAAGAGCACTTTCTGCCTTTCTGCTAGTGCATTCCAGGAATGTTCTTTGTCCATTGTGCCTTTCCCAGCCTGCGCCTCCACTTCGCTCTATTGCCCAACACCAATGTGTATACTGATGACCCATTTCACCCGCTGCCCCTATCAAGGATGGTCCAAAGGTTGGAAGATTTGAAGGATATGACATTAGAATGTTAGGCCACTTAACACTTCAATGTCAGTGGGGGATGGAGAGCGATGGCCTGAATCATCCACCCATGAGACGCAGCAATTTCAGCCACTTTCAACCAGATTTCAATTGCAAAAATGATCAAATGGGTCAATGCAACTTATCAGTAGTGGTCAAGTTTTATAGCTTCCAGCTTGGACCAATGTACGTATGCCCATGCCATGCTTGTGGGATCCCTGTGGAAGCAGGAAGTCATTGTAGCAGTCTCCGAAACTAGTCTCCGCTATTACAGTGATCACTGCTGTTTTCTGGGTGCTGAGCGGCTGCTCTGCTGCATAGTGAACATGGGAGGTCAGCTGCTCAGTATGGGAGCCATCCACAGAGCACATGGAATTTTTCTCAATAAATGCAAGTTGTCTCACTAATTTATTGACTTGTTTTGCCATTTTCATTTATGGTTTGATGTTATTTATTTTAAGATATTAGTATGTTATGTTTTTGAACAGTTTTCCACACATTTCAGTTTTGGACACTTTCCCACACTTTTTTATTATAAGTTTTTTACATTTGCTTTTTTTTTAGCACTTTTTACATTATTAGAGATATTTTTTGGGTAGAGTGCTATAAATTTCCTTGGTTGCTTGTCCTGGTTGGGTTTAACATATTTCTTTCCACTGGTTTACCGATTGGTTCACAAATTGTTTCACAAATTGATTGATTTTTTTACTTTTTTCTTTTGAACACTTGCCTACACCTTTTGTAATTAATAATTTTAAATACTTTTTTGATATGGGTAGCACAGTGGCTAAATGTTCCGTGCTAGGGTCGTTGATTCAAATCCCAACCATGGCACCACCTGCCTGGAGTTTGCATGTTCTCCCTGTGCCTGTGTGGGTTTCCTCCCACGCTCCAAAGATATACTGGTAGGTTAATTGCATCCTGTCTAAATTTGCCCTTGTATATGAATGTGAGTTAGGGACCTTAGATTGTACGCCCCTTGAGGGTTAGGGACTGATATGAATGTACAATATATATGTAAAGCACTGCATAAATTGACAGCAATATATAAGTACCTGAAATAAATAAATAATTGTACTAGTCTCCGCTACTACAGTGATCGCCGCTGTTTTCTGGTTGCTGAGCGGCTGCTCTGCTGCATAGTGAACATGGGAGGTCAGCTGCTCAGTATGGGAGCCATCCACAGAGCACATGGAATTTTTCTCAATAAATGCAAGTTGTTTCACTTATTGTCTCGCTAATTTATTGACTTTTTTGCCATTCTCGTTTATGGTTTGATGTTATTTATTTTAAGATATTAGTATGTTATGTTTTTTTAACAGTTTTCCACACATTTCAGTTTTGGGACACTTTCCCACACTTTTTTATTATACGTTTTTTTACATTTTTTTTTTTTGTAGCACTTTTTACATTATTAGAGATATTTTTTGGGGGTAGAGTGCTATAAATTTCCTTGGTTGCTTGTCCTGGTTGGGTTTAACATATTTCTTTCCCTTGTTTTGCCGATTGGTTCACGAATTGTTTCACAAATTTATTGATTTTTTACTTTTTTTTTGAACGCTTGCCTACACCTTTTTGTAATTAATAATTTTAAACGTTTTTTGATATTTTTGTTAATCACTTTAAGATATATTATTAATATGCTGCGTTTTTTAATAGTTTTCCACACGCTGTAGTTTTGGACACTTTCCCACACTTTTGTATTTCAAGTTTTTTTATAGTTGTTTGTCAGCACTCTTGTATTATAAGAGATATTTTTGGGAAGAGCACTGTCTTGATCTTTATTGCTTAAGTTGTTCTACGATTGGATTAGGTGGCGATTGTGATGTCACCACCCGACTTCTTCAACTCATCCAATCAGAGAATGCCTTGCATTCCTTGAGAAAAGTTCCAGGTGCTCAGTAAATGTCTCCCGTTCCAAGTCAGCAACTCCCTGTGTTCACTATGCAGGAGGGCAGCTTGTGACCCAGAAGACAGCAACGGTGAATGAAAAGTGATCTATGAATGGAGAAGGTGGATCTTTCATTCATCGGTCTATCCTCCATTTATAGATTGCTTTTCATTCATGGAAGCTACAGTATGGCTTCTACGAATGGAGGAAGGCAGCTTGGGACCCAGAAGACAGCAACGGTGAATGAAAAGTGATCTATGAATGGAGGAGGTGGACCTTTCATTCATCAGCCTATCCTCCATTCATTCATAGAAGCCATACTGTAGAAGCCATTCATAGAAGCCATACTGTAGCTTCCATGAATGAAAAGCAGTCTATGAATGGGGGAGGTAGACCTTTCATTCATCAGCCTATCCTCCATTCATAGATTGCTTTTCATTCATGGAAGCTACAGTATGGCTTCTATGAATGGAGGAGGGCAGCTTGGGACCCAGAAGACAGCAACGGTGAATGAAAAGTGATTTATGAATGGAGGAGGTGGACCTTTCATCATCGGTCTATCCTCCATTCAAAGATTGCTATTCATTCATGGAAGCTACAGTACTGCTTCTATGAATGGAGGAAGGCAGCTTGGGACCCAGAAGACAGCACAATGTTGAATGAAAAGTGATCTATAAATGGAGATGGTGGACCTTTCATTAATCAGCCTATCCTCCATTCATAGATTGCTTTTCATTCATGGAAGCTACAGTACAGCTTCTATGAATGGAGGAAGGGGAAGAAAAAGGCATATGATGAGTACCTGTGACAGGTCCAGTGCTTGTATTAACTCCTGCTCAGGGGCAGACTGTTTGGAAAACTCCATTTGGAAACTCGGGCACTGCCCGAGGGCCCGGGGTCAGTAGGGGGCCCCATGAGATGCCCCTGGTACCTTTTTCATAGGCTTTTTTGAGTTTGGGCAAGGACACAGGGGCCCATGAATTGTCAGTCCGCCCCTGTTCCAGCTACACTGAATGATTATGGCTATGGGGTATAGCTTTGGACTTTGGATTTCATCTATGACAGCCATCACAAAGGGACATTTGACTTCTGTACAATCACCCTGCTGGGTTTACTCCGAATGATCAGTGCTGCCAGCTATAGCCAGCAACACTGATCATTGTATTCTGACGGTGGGGAAGGCACAACGTCATAAGAACACAATAGTACAGCGGGATGATTCCCCCATCCACCTCAAATGTTTAGATGGGGGAATTGGCGCGTTTTATTTCATTCAACCTGCAAGTTGAAAAAAAAAAAATGTCTAATGTACCTTAAAAAAAAAAAATCTATTACTGCATTTTCTGCACAGCTCAATTAAAATGCATTAGAAAATGCTGACATGAAGAGACATGTCCTTGTCTCTTCATGTCAGCAATTTTACAAGGTGACTTTAATGGCATTTCAGCCTGCACTCACAAGCCGCCTACGCTTTATTTTTTCCAAACATTTACAGACACAACAGAAGAGACCATTAAAGTTGTAAAGATTTAATCAGCAACCTCTGGAATGATAATGCCGAGTAGCAAAGAATTTAGAAATGTAGGCTTCAGTGCAATTTAAGCAGAAAAGGGAACCTTCTCATGTCTTTGAAGTTGGTGTCGCCTTGAAGCTCCATCGCTTGGCTTTGTTGTACTCAGAAGACGTGGCCTTCTGGTAAATGGAGTCACCGACCTCAGAGTCCCGTTTCACCTGCCAATCTTGATAAAGTGCCCGTGACCGGTACAATGGAGCTACAAAAATATTTACACAGCCATTGTGTGACAACGACACTAATATAAACGCGCGCAAAAAAACTTTTGTCGTTGACCTCACTGCCATAATGCTATATCAGTCACACCAAGTTTAATGACGCTGTAAACGGAGACTGGATTTGAAACAACGTCATAGGATAATATCAGGAATGTCAGGTACATACATAGACTGTAGACAGAGCTGCATTTATCTTTGAACCAGGTTTTATTTAGAACATATTCATCTTTTATACCACCTATGCTACTGTTTCAAAACTGCAAAAGCAACATATAACATGGCATTGCTAAAGCAGACCTAGATTAGAAATATTATTATTAAGGGGTCTATGTGGGCAGCACAGTGGCTAAATGGTTAGAACTTCCGCCTGGCAGTACTCGGGTCACTGATTCGAATCCCAGCCACAGCACCACCTGCCTGGAGTTTGCATGTTCTCCCTGTGCCTGCGTGG